GCCGGGTTATGAGGTATTGCCCCATGTTGTGGATGTGAAAACCGAGGCCTAGAGAGAGGCAGTGACAGGCACAAGGTCACACAGTTACCCTGCTGCAGCGTCAGGATTTGTGTTTGGGTCTGACCCCTTCAAGCCCATGTGCTTTTGGGGGGGAAGAACATTAAGTTGACATGTTACAGACATTTGGGTTGTAGATCTGGCCCATGGTAGGCGCATGAATGCACAAAAATGAATGAATAGAGTGTGAATGTCCTAGTCACACAGAAGTGTGCATTCACACACACAGACCTAGCTTTGGTTGCCTTGATCGGATCTTATGTCCTGATCCTTTCCATTATCTCCCGGCCCCGTAGGCATTTGAGTTTGTGACTTCTCGAGTGGAGATTTATGGTTACCAACCCGGAACTGGGATACTTTTTAATAATTTGCAGCCCAAACCCTCACCAGGCAGAAGTGTGGTTTCCCGGGCTGCATGTCAGCACCACCCGGCAGCTTTCTTGCCCTGCCGGCCTGGAGTCTGCGTTTCCACAAGAGCCCCAGGCGAGTCCCGTGGGGGTTAAGTGTCCAGGCGCACTGCCCTATACAAACCACTTTCTTCCTTCTCAACTTGTTATAATTGCAATTAAGTACTTACTTGGGCAATTCCTTATTTGCCATCCATCTTCCCCACTAAACAGGACGTTCCTGACTGCTTCGGCTCACTGTTAGAACCCAGTTCCTAGCACACGCCTGGTGCATGGTGGGCCGTGGAATAAGTGAATGGATGAATGAGTTGAGTGAGTGAGTGAGTGAGCTCATTCCAGAGGTTTTGGCCATCTGTTTAGTTAATCCCTCTCCCTCTAGCCATAGGAAGCTGGGGAGGAAGAGGAAGCTTAGAGTTTTAAATTCAGAAGGAAACGGAGGAGGCTGTCTGTTGCTCCCCACTTGAGAGCCAGCTGTCCCGTTTTATGTACCAGCCACCTCTTCTGGGACCCATGGTGAGGCTTGGAGATGGGCTACACCGGGTCAGGTCATTACAGCTGCTTTCACCTCTGGCAACGTGGATGTAAGGCTCCCTCAGTGAGTCCTCCGTGGACCTCAACCCCATGCGTCATGGCAAGTTCAGTGGCCCTAACAAGGTTGAGAACAGGAGGCTGTGGTCAGTGGAAGGCCATGTCCATCTACCAGGCTCCAGATCCCACCAGTAGGAGAGTAAGCTGCTGCTGCTTCTGAATGTGGTGTTTTCACCACCCTGAAGACGCTGGGGACTCACTGGGTGTGGGGCCTGAGGGTCACCTGCCCCTTGTGCTGATGGCCCCGTGTTGTTTTTTTTTCATTGTTTTTTGAATGTTTATTCATTTTCGAAAGAGACAGAGCACAAGCAGGGGTGGGGCGGGGGGGGGGTTGCGGTACACAGAATCCAAAGCAGGCTCCAGGCTCCGAGCCGTCAGCCCAGAGCCTGACGCGGGGCTCGAACCCACGAACCGTGAGATCGCGACCTGAGCTGAAGTCGGACGCCTCACCGACTGGGCCCCCCAGGCGCCCCTCGATGGGCCCATGTGTTTGTGTTGGGCTCACCATGCGCAGTGTGACCTCCTCCCAGATTGCCAGTTTGCTGGTACTCCTGTTGGCCCCTCCACCAGACTCTGTGACACTCCGGCCTCACGCGGGGACTCGTGACCACAGTCCACCCCCTCGCTACCCCTCCGGCAAGCTGTGGCACCACAGTCGTGCTGCTGTGCAGAGCATCGTTGCCTTCAGGCAGTGACACTGTGGGGCTGTGGGCAGGGTTGTTTCTGGGCTGCGTGGAAAGCTCGGTGGCCCGGCCTCCCGTATCTCCACCCTCAGTGCGTCTGTCACTCTCTGACTGCCATCGGGGAAAGCTGTCAAATACAATGGCATTCAGAAAGTGGTAACGCGAGAAGCCGGGAGATCACCAAAAGACGTCCCGGGCTACCCCGAGGACCCGGTTGTCCCCTGTGACTTGAATGATGATGTTCACTCCATCTTCCACCTGGGGGCTGGCATCCCGTACAGGACCAGCCTGCCAGGCCCACTTACCAGTATGCAGGTGATATGTGCATACATATGTGCACACAGGCCTCCTGGTCCTTGTGACCTCTGAGGACATCAGCCTTGGACCACAGCAAGAATGCCAGAGGGACAGAGAAGCTCTCTGCTCCCGGCCAGGCCCTGACCCACCTCTGCGTCCAAGGCACTGAACTTCACCGTCCTCGACCCAGTCCCACCCAGGCCCCCTGAAGAAGGGAAGGAGCGTGAGAGCCCCACCTCGTCACGTCCCATCAGGATTCCCGACGAGGTGTATACCATCCCTACCTGGGAAAAAAGGCAGAAGGGAGCAGGGCAGGGAGGGAGATCATTCCCCATGTAGTGTACCCATTTCCCAGGTTTTCATTCCCCCAAGTGTCCTGGATGGAAAGTTACATGTGATACCCGCCCAAAAAGATAAAAGCCTGTGTTTCTCAAAAGTCACGCAGTCTGCAGCAGGAAGATCTCTTGTACTGAATGCCCGTGTCTCGCTTGCACAGTCTTCCCGGCGGTTGCTGGGGCGGGAAAGGGAGGGTCTTGTAAGGTTTGCAAAGCAGGGGAGGGAGACCTGCCCGCGTGGGGAAGGCAGGTTACTCAACAATTCAGAGCAGAGGAAGCTGGAGCGAAGCAAATATGCAAATCACGGCACGGAGGTTGGGGCAGAAAGATGCTTCAAATTTACAGAACGCCAGGTTAATCCGAGCCCATAGGAATGTTTGTTTCCATAAGATGCGAATTATGAATATTTACATACTTATTTAAGAAATCATATTCGAAATGTTTAATTCAGTAACTTATGTATTACTAAATGCACTCAAAACATGGGCTTTTACCGCTAATGAGAACTGTGTCTGCTTCGGAATGAGACTGTTCATCCTCTAGTCCTGGGGGAGGGCGGGGACGGGATGCTGGAGGTCCTGTTCGGGGCAGCGAACCCCAGCCAGGGAAATAAATGAGCATTGAGTGAGCACCTACTGGGTGCCAGGGGCTTTCCTTGGCATTAGACCACAGCTGTTCCGGACACACAGTGAGAAATATATTTTTGCACTCCTCTTCCTCACATATGCACGCGTGCACACGCCTCACATAGCACGTTCTCACGACTGTAACTACAGCAGAAGTCTCATCCAACCCCTTCTTCCCACGGGCCATCCAGGCTGGTACTGTCCATTCGGTTTTACCGTTTAGCTCGAGCCGGACTCTCCGAACGGACTTCGGGACTCGCCCACCCTTGATCCAGGGGTTTGGGACTCCGGCAGAACTTAACTCTGCCAGGGACGCGGTTCAGGAAACAGGCTTGGGGCTCCCAAGGCGCTTGGGTTCAAGTCCCGGCTCCGGTGCCCATGGGCCGTGCGGCTTGAGTAGGGCCCTTAGCCTTCCCCAGTTTCTTCATCTGTACTGTGGGGACGGTGACTTTGCCCACCTTGTAGCACCATTGTGAGGTCTAAGAGAGGGCACGCAGGTGAGTAAGTGACCTCCTAGGTGCGTGGTTGTAGCTGGTGTGGTGACGAAGCCATCGCGGGCTGCAGCGCCCTGGTAGTGAAGAAAAACCCCGGAGCCAGACCGCCTGAGCTCAGAGCACACATCCACCCCTGATGACCCCTGTGGCCTTGGGTGAGTTAGTTAAACTGTCTGTGCCTCCAGATCTTCGCCTGCGACACGGGGGTATGAATAGAACACTCCTCGTGGGGTGATTCCGAGGATTAACAATAACGCATCTGAGTAACACGCTTAGAGCTTGGCAGGTAACAAGCACGGGGTAAATGACGGACCTCATCAGCATCATCCTCTTGTGTCTTCGTCTTCACGCATCCTTGTGAGATCAGTTTCCCCCCATTTCACAGCTGGGAACGCTGAGGTCCAGAGACTCTGGGCAGGCTTCCCCCAGGTCTCGTTGATACCAAGTGGTAGAGTTGAAATTGCAAGTTCTGAGCCTCCAGTCCGGGGCTGAGAGAGGCTCAGAGTTCTGGGGACCTGAGAGCACGTCTCAGGAGGCACAGGGATGCTCCAGCCGCGTACCCCAGTACGTAGGCACTGCCCTACGCACCAGGGAGTGTGAGTGGGGAGGTTGGTGCGATCAGTAGGCATGCAATCTAGTGTTGGCCTGGGCGTCACGGTGACGACGTTGAGTTTTCCTGTTAGAGATGACATAACGTGGTCCCCAGTGGACTGTCCACGTGTAAAATTGGCTTCTTGAAAATATCTCTCTTTAGCTGAATTCCGTCACCTTTTCATCACCTCTTGCCTTATTGTCTCCCACTGATGGCTGGATGCTGTGTGCCGAGGGGCACCGTTGAATCAGGAGCTCAGGCCCCTTCTGTCTTCCTGCTGCACACTCTACCTGGAGCCTAGGAGATGCGTCAGCGTGTGGCTTCCCCTAAGTGCTGGGGCCAGCCCCACCTGAACCCCATGGGCTGAAACTGGGTGGTGGGGGGGAGAGGAAGAACGTCAAGATGATGTCATCAGGAGAAGGGAAATGGATGTTGGCCAATCAAAGCCAACTGGTATCTGCCATTCATGAGTTCTCGGGGCTGTGCCGTTGAGGCAGGGAACGGGATAGTTCTCCATCCAGGAGTGGAAATGGCATCAGCCTGGGAGTCAGGAAACCTGGTCCAGGTCCCAGTTTGTGCTGCTGTCTAGTTATGGGGCCTAGCTCAAGCGTGTTCTTTGTGTCCCTTTGGCCTCGGTGTCCCCATCCGCGCACTGGGTAAGGGAGAGGGTTCTACCCCGATGTTTCAAGATGTTATAGACTCTTTACGTGTGGTCCTTCAGTTAGTATCCAGAGATGAAACTCGCCCAGAAAGGGGTTTTGAGGAGGAAACGCTAAAACGTTGTGCCTCGAATGAGCTTTTGTGGTTGAGAAAGCAATTCTCCAAGGTTCTTCCCACTCGGGTGAGCAGCTTCCCACCCACAGCTTTAGTGGATCATCACTCCGACAGCTAAAGCCTTTCCAATTTTTCTTTTCCCTCCAGGCGTCACCTCATCGGCCCCTCCGAGCGTGTCTCCGCTCTTCGCAAGGTGAGCACCCCTGCCCGCCTCCTCTGCCTCCCTACCTTTCCCCTCCTTGCGGGGCTGAGGCTCTGGGGCCTGAATCCCCAGAGAGGAATCCCAGCACCAGCACTTACCAGCTGAGCCACCCAGAGCACATGACTCCACCTCCCAGGCCTCGGTCTCCCCATCTGGAAAAGGGGGAGACCGTCAGGACGCCCGCCCCCTTGAAATGAGTTCAAACATGTTAAAAGGCCTTCGAATGAAGCCTGGAGTCGAGTGTCGAGTGTTGGCTCTTACTTCCTCTCTTCTTCTCTTTGTTCTTTTTGTCCGTCCTTCCTTCCGTTTCCCTCCCCTTCCTCCTTCCTTTCTTCTCCCTCCTTTTCACTCTCCCTCCTCTACTCTGTCCCCGCCTTCCCTCCCTTTCCTGCTGTCCCTGCCCCCCTCTTGCCTTCTCCTCTGCCCGGCGAGTGGAGGAGACAGGCCAGTAGGGCAGAGACCCCCTCAGGTGGACGGGCAGCATCAGTATTGCACCAGAGGTGTGTGAAGGGCAGAGCGAGCTCCCTGATGGCCACGGCTTCCGGAGAGCCCTCGGTGGTCAAGGTGCCCTCGGCCTAGAGGGTCAGCTCCTCCAGATGCCGACACGCACCTCCCTTGACAACACTGGAGAAACCGTTTGGAAGGGACACACTTTCTCAGCCTTCCTTTCCTTGCAGACGTTTTGGGGATTGTTAGTAGCAACAGAGGTCTGTTCGATCCACCTGAACTCTTCTTTAAGGCCGTGGAGTTGGAGAGTTCCACTCCTCTTTCTCTAGGTTTTCACCGTAGCCCCAGATTAATCCGCAAGGGAGAAAGGGGTTCTGATGGGAAGCCAGAGTTGATCGCCTGGAATTTCCACCTTCTAGATCGAAGGACAGGTGTAACTTGGGAGCAGGTTCAGATAAGGTTCTATGCTCGGCCCTGAGTCCCGACTCTCGGGACTCATGCTCAGGCGCGACAGACACCGAGAATGTTGGCAGCTGAAACGCCCTCCGGGACTGGTTCTTGGGTCTCCAAGTCCAGTGAGTTCCTCACGCACCTTGGAACGAGTTCCCCAACCCTTTATCAGCGTAGAGGGCAGGAGAACATCTTTTCCATAAACCTTTGTACCCATCTCACACCTGCTCGGAGGCTTCTTACATAGAAGGAATTCGGGAAAGGAAGAGATTTTAACTAACGTGATGTAACCAGGGGTACCTGAGTGGCTCAGTCAGTTAAGAATCCGAGTTCGGTTCAGGTCATGAGCTCACGGTTCATGAGTTCGAGCCCCGCGTTGGGCCCTGTGCTGACAGCTCACAGCTCAGAGCCTGGAGCCTGCTTCAGATTCTGTCTCTGTCTCTCTGCCCCTTCCCCTCTCACTTGCGCTCTCTCTCTCTCTCTCTCTCTCTCTCTCTTTCTCTCTAGTAACATTTCAAAAAAATTTTTTTAAATAAATAAGATGATGTAACCAAAATGGAATCCAGTCCAGAGTTGGGGATCTCATTAACATCTACTGGAAAGCAGGCTGGTTAGAGCAGGTAGGTACAGGATGTCGGGTGCAGAAGGCCCTAGTGTCCCCGTGTGTGAGCTGAAGAAAGAGACTGGCCCAGTGAAGTGGTTAAGGGTGCAGCCTCTGGAACCAGGTTCAAAGTCTGCATCAGCTGTGCAATCCTAGTATGTTAGTTCTCTCTCTGCCTCTGTTTTCTTATCTGTAAAATGGGGATAAGGATTGTAACTACCTCCAGGGTCGTTGTAGTTGTATGAGGCTTAAATGAGCCAGTCTACATAAAGGAATTAGGAAGGTGCCTGACACATAACGGGCACAAGAATTTTTAGCTGTTTTTATCACTAAAGGAGGTGGACCCGGTGGGGGCTGTTATAGACAGAGTGTGGTGGTTCAAGATGTGGCCACTACTCAAATTGGTTGGTAAAGCCACACAGGAGTGCAGACCTAGGCTTTGTAGGTGTTTTGGGGGGGGGGGGCCGGGAGACTGGAAAAGAGAAGCCTCCTGGTTTGAAACTATTGGCAATGAATTCAGATTTAAAAAATAAATAACTGCACGAGCCAAAGAAATTATACTCAGGGATCCATGGACTGCGCATGGCCCCTGGGCCACCGTCTTGTCCCCTTCTGCTAGAATAACCCCCCCCCCCCCTTGATGTGACTTATCGCTGCCTGCAGGGCTGGGCCAATCTCAGTCTCTAAGTGAGAAGAGATGCAGTTTTGTGGTTGTAATTGTGAACCCTGGAGTCAGATTCCCGAGTTGAAATTCTAGATCCCCCACTTTCTAGCTGTGACCTCAGGTCTCGGGGCTTTGGTTTCCTCTTCTTGAAAATGGGAGTTACAAGAACCCCCCCCTACCCCAGAGAGTTGATGTGAGCATCTGATGAGATATAATGCACGTATCGGGCCTGTGTGACACATTTCGAGCCTGTGGTAAGAGCACAGTGATTGGGAAGCACTCATTCATTATATTACAGATGTCCTAGTAAGTGGCCCTTTAAATCCCAGGCCTTCATGGAACCTGTTACTCACCATGGAGTGCAGAATCCATTTGTGTTCTTGGGTTGCATGTAACGGAACATGGACTGCAGCTGATGTTAGCCCAAAAGGACCTATCTGGAAAATCTGGAACAGCTCCCTGTGTAAGTGAGAGTGGAATAATCAGGCCTTGAGAAAGACCAAGAAAAGGACAGCTTCTGGGATCCGAGCAGTAGGAAGGAACGAAAAGTCAGGCTCTTCAGAGTGTAGCTGCTGGAATGAACTATTCAGCCCAAGATTTAAATTCCCAGGACAGGATCTGATTGGATGAATTCCGTCACGAGCCCACCCCTTGGCTAAGAGCAGCGCATCTTGATTGACAGCCCTGTCCCAGCTGCAATCAACTGAGATGGTGTCTGCGTTAGGACAGAGAGGATAGGACAGATAGGCTGTGCTGCAGTAGTCAGTGGTGTGGACCCAGTGACTTCACACAACAAAGGCTTGTTTCTTACTCAAAGTTCCGTGCAGATTCGGTGAAACTCTCCGGGGCATCTCTCCTCTACACGCTGACTCAGGATCCAGGAGCTATCCGTACCGTAGCTCTGATGTCTCAACCCTGACACTTGCTGCCAGCAGAGGAGAGAGGGCAGGCCGGGAGGGTTGCAGGGGATGGTTTTATTGGCCAGACCTGGGCATGGCTCATATATTCTACGGGGCAGAATCCAGTCACGTGGTCGACTCTGACTGCAAGGCAGGCAAGAAATAAAACCTTCCTGGTGCCCAGGAAGAGGAAAATGAAATGGGATTTGATGAACACCTAAGTTGCCTCTGCCCTGGAAGGAGTTAAATACCCAAAGGAAAATGGTAGCGGTGACACCAAGATGAGGGGGATGGGATGGTAGCCTGGCTTCGGAGATGTAATCTTCTCTTTCTCCATGCAGATCTTGTCCACGTGTCCTGCACAGCCAGCCTCCCACGGCCATGGCAGCCTACGGCCAGACACAGTACAGTGCAGGGGTCCAGCCAGCTGCCCCTTATACCACTTACCCACCTCCGGCACAAGCCTATGGAATCCCTTCTTACAGTGAGTACCAGACCAAGCCCTCGCTTTCCCCCTGGGGTCCCCAACGTTGTGGTCTTTCTTCTGTCCTGCTGCCTCCGTTAAATGCAAAATGATAAATGCCGCCGGCCTCATTTTGGAATGGGGATAGAGGGAAAGGACAGACACATTTAAATACGGTTCTAGTTTGACAGATTCTATCAAGGCCTCTTTTGCTTGCAAGAGTAAGAAACTTAACCCCAGCCAGGTTAGGAAAAATGAAAATGTAATGACTCTCATACGGGGAAATCTAGAGATAGAGCTAACTTCAAGCACGGCCGGACCCGGGTGCTCGGGGGAGGTCAGGTGTACCACAGCTCGCTCCAGATTCGGATGTTTTCCTCTGCGTTGGCTTTAATCCCACACGGGTTTTTCCCACGTGGCAGCAAAATGGTGCCCGTCCCTCTGGGTTGGCATCCTTTTAGCTCAGCACAGCCAGTGGAAGGAGAGCCCATCTTTCCCAGCGGCCCCACCAGAATCCCTAGCAACCCTCGTTGGCCCAAATTGGGTCACGTGACAATGCCTCAAGCTAGTCAAGAAGGTGAACATGAGAGAGATAAGGAGGCTGAAGTGTGCGGATTGCATCTGAGGGAGAGATGGTTCTCGCGAAGGAAAGTAAGCGGATGCCGGGAAGGCAAAAACAACAGACCTACAGACTGTGACTGTCAGAACCTTATTGCTACAAACCAAAGAGTCTGTGAACCTGGCCCAGCATCCACCGCTCACCTGCCCCCATCTGTACGGGTCAGGGTTCTCCAGAGAGGCAGAACCAATGGGAGGGAGCTATCGATATCTATATCTATATATTTATATCTATAGCTATAGCTATAGCTATAGCTATAGCTATAGCTATAGCTATATATTGAGACAGAGAGAGAGAGAGAGATCATAGGAACTGGCTCCCCCAGTTATGGAGGCTGGGAAGTTACAAGATCTGAGGTTGGCAAGCTGGAGACCCAAGAGAGCCCATGGTGTCATTCCAATTTGAGTCCAAAGGCCAGAGAAAAGGAGGGGTAATGGTATACATTCTGGTCTAAAAGTAGGCGGGCCCAAGACCCAAGAAGGGCTGACTTTTCAGCTCCAGTCTGAAGACAGGAAAAGACTGATGTGCCAGGTCAAACACTCACATAGAAGGAGTCACCTCTTACTTAGTTAGCCTTTTTGTTCTATTCAGGTCTTCACTTGATTAGGTGAGGCCCACCCACATCAGGGAGGGCAATCTGCTTATTCGGTCTACAGATTCAAATGTTAGTCTCCTTCAGAGACACTCTCACACAGACATACCCAAGATAATGTCTAGCCAACTGTCTGGGCAACTTGTGGCCCAGTGAGGGTGACACATAAAATTAACTATCACACTGCCTATGGCTTATATTCATGCTAGTCCTTCCCATCTTAACTGATGTATCAACCCAAATCTCTTTGGTAGCAAATGACAAAAATCCAGTGCTAATTAGCTTAAGGAAATAAGGGTGTTGACTGCAAACCATAGCTGAACAATCTTAGGGTATGAGCTTCAGGCAGGGCTAAATCCAGGTACTCAAGTGATGATATGAAGAATCAGTCTCTCTGCTTTCCTTTGGAAGGTTAACCCTCATTCTGAGACTTTCCCACTGTGGTGTCAAAGACAGCCCTCGCAGTTCCAAGCTGTACCTCCCCCCAAAAGAGAGCTTCTCTCGTCCAGGACTTCCTGTACCATCCCAGGGATTCCTCTGACTGGACTCCCAGTCACTGGGGCAGAGACACTGGGGCAGAGAAGATAGAATGCTCTGGATGGCCACATTTGGCCACATATCCCCCCATGGAACCACAAGTCAGGTCAAGCTCATCCAAGAGAACCGAACTGAATGTAGGGCAAGGTAGTCCCCGGAGGAGGAAGGGACAGGTAGAAACCACAGACGCCTAGTGGAAAGGTAGTCAGGAGACCTGGCTTCTGGGCCCAGCTGCCTCTGACCTTCCCGGGCCTCGGTTTCGTCATCTGTTAAATGAATGTATCATCTCATCTTCCCAACTCGATGGTGTGGCTCGAGTGCAGAGACTGAGTCTTTCCTTTTTTCCCTTCCTTCTCTCCCTCTCTGCCTCTGCTCTGTTCTTGTGTCCATTCATTCATTAATTCATTCACTCAGCGTTGGGTCGTGTGCTAGGCACACAGAGGCCAACAGAGCAGAATGGGCCCTCTGTGGAGCTTACAGTCTGCAACAGAGGCTGAAAAGTAAAGGCCAGTGGGTAATGTGGGTATCTCTTTTAACCTATAAAACATGCTTAACATTTAAAAAATTAATCGCTAATTTTGGGAGCACCTAGGTGGCTCAGTTGGTGAAGTGTCTAACTTGATTTCAGCTCAGGTCATGATCTCATGCTCGTGAGATTGAGCCCCATGTCTGGATCTGTGCCAAATGTACCTTGCTTGGGGTTCTCTCTCCCTCTCTCTCTACCCGTCCCCCACGCACATGCACATTCTCCCACGCACATGCGTGCATGCTCTCTCTCCCTCAAAAGTAAATAAACATTAAAAAAAATAAACATTTGCAAAAAATAAATTAATTGCCAATTTTAAAATGCGAAATGCTAGTGTAAAAAATTATATTTCTGGGGTGCCTGGGTGGCTCAGTCGGTTAAGCATCTGACTTCGGCTCAGGTCATGATCTCATGGCTTGGGAGTTCGAGATCCACATCGGGCTGTGTGCTGACAGCTTAGAGCCTGAAGCCTGCTTCGAACTCTGTCTCCCTCTCTTTCTGCCCCTCCCCTGCTCGTGCTTTGTCTCTCTCTCTCTCTCTCTCTTTCAGGAATAAACATTAAAACATGTTTTTTAATTTAAAGATTCTCTCCACCTCTACCCCTGTGCCCCCCTCACACTTGTTCTCTAAAATTTAAAAAAAAATTATATTTCTAATGTCTTTCAAAAGAGAGAGAGAGAGATGATCCGGCAGCACTGAGCCCACATTCTTTTTTGTGTCAGGAATAGGTGACTCTGAGTCAGGCTGTGCCCATTAGCCTAAATTTGTCATGCTCCCCACCCAGCCCACATGGCTCTCTTGAATTATCTGCCTGTCCCCCAAAGACGTTTGAGTTTGCACCTCCTGGCCTAAAGGGAGAAAAACATTTTAAGATTTACAAATCTTCGCGTGTTTCGAACGATGCTCTGTGATACGAGGAAGAGAAGTCGGTCGTGAGGGAGAACGGGAGGAAGGCTTCATCTAGGCTCCAGCTTCGGGGAGGCCTTTTAGACAAAGAGCTGGTTCAGCATCCTAAGAACTGAGGCAGCCTCCAGGCAGGGGGGCCGCCCGTCGGAAGTCAGAAGGCCCCGAGATGGGAGGAATTTGGAGAGTCCCAGGAGCCCAATAGCCACAGCACAGTGAGGGATGAGGTGGGTGAGGCGGGCAGAGCCCGCGAGGCCTGGGAAGGATTTGGGGTTTTATTCCGAGCGAAACGGGAACTCGTTGGCAGGTTTATAAGCAGAGGGCTAAACGCTACAGTCTGGGTTTTTTTCCAAGATCGCGTCGGCCGCCGTGGGGAGCTTGGATTGGAGGGAAGGAAGAAGGCAGCAGACAGGCTGGTCAGAGACTGAGGAGGAGTGCGGGGTGACGGTGGTGGCCCGGGGCAGGGCAGTGCATCGACTGAATAGACGGGGGGTGATTCTAGGGGTAGGAGTGGGGGGTCCTGTTGGGGCAACAGGCCAGGCGTTGGGAATAGTCACCGTCGCTGAGCTGCCGTCGCCTCAGTCCTCAATGTTCTGTGTCCTTGGGGGTAAAGAACCAGCTCAGGGTCCCCCAGCTGGTCGGTGGCATTAGACCCAAAGTAGCCTGGCCCTGGAGTCCAGTCTCTTCATCACTGAGCTCTAGTGCCTGTGACAGTCCTCGGCCCACAGGTGTGGGCATTGTTTCCAACCCTCTGTCCCTCCTGTGCTAGAAGGCTTGTGATATAATCCCACCTAAGCTACCCCACCTGGCTGACAGCCAGGGAAACCGAAGCCGTATTATTTTTCGGCATAAAAGAGAAAACCGGCCCTGTGTCCAGACACAACGTGGCAGGTAGTACAAGCATATGTCCTGGGCTCACCCCCCCCCCCCCGCCCCCCCCCCCGCCACATGCTGGTCCTGACACACTGGACAAGCCCCTTCAGTTTCCTCCTTCGGGCAGCGGGGGTGCTACTCGTCTCCTCGCCATTACTGTGAAGGTAGACGAGGCTGTCTGTGTCAGAGGTCGGCCACCGTTGTCTGCAAAGGTCCAGATGGTCCTTCTGGCTCTGCGGACCCTAGAGTCCCTGTCGCAGCCATTCAGCTCCGCCACCATAGTGTGAAGGCAGCCGGACGATATGGAAACTAACAGGTGTCTCTGTGTTCCAATAAAGCTTTATTTACACAGACAGGAAGTAGGCCAGACTTGGTCCACAGGCCGTGATTGGCCAACCCCTGATCTCTGCGAAGGGATCAGCTCACAGGGCTGGCCCAAGGGACATACTCAATCAAGACAGCAGGGTCTTGCCAGGCTGCCACACACACCTGGAATGTTCATGTCACTGAACAATGACAGGTAGGATGAAAAGCCATTTTCCTTCACCTGTGCCTGTGCCCTGAGCAAGCAGTGTTTGCTCATTGTCTGGACAAACCTTGTTGAATCTTGTTAGGAAGCTTTCTCAGTGCTCCTTGGCAAACAGCATTATTTACTTTTGTGCAAATAGCTTCAAGGAAGTGACACATTTGAGCAAGCTAGAGGGAAGAAGGTGAGCGGTATTGAATCTGTTTTTCCTCGATTTGTTACGCAACATTTAAGACATCGGTAAAAGCATGAAGACGAACACTACAAATACCACGAGCTGGAATCCAGCGTAAGAAATAAAAAGCATAAAAGGTCATCTCCCTTTCTTCTCAGAGACAACCCACATGCCTGGAGTTGATGTTTGTCATCCCTCTGCATTTCTTTATGTAGACTAGGGGTCAGCAAAGTTTTTCTGTGAAGAGCCTGATAGTAAATATTTTCAGCTTTGCACGCCCTACAGTCTATCGCAGTCACGCAGCTCTTCCATTATAATGCAGAAGAAGCCATCCTCCATAAACGAATGGATGTGTCTGTGTTCCGATAAAACTTCATTTGCAAAGGGGCGCCTGGGTGGCGCAGTCGGTTAAGCGTCCGACTTCAGCCAGGTCACGATCTCACGGTCCGTGAGTTCGAGCCCCGCGTCGGGCTCTGGGCTGATGGCTCGGAGCCTGGATCCTGTTTCCGATTCTGTGTCTCCCTCTCTCTCTGCCCCTCCCCCATTCATGCTCTGTCTCTGTCTGTCCCATAAATAAATAAAAACGTTGAAAAAATAAAAAATAAATAAAAAATAAAAAAAAACCTCATTTGCAAAAAACAGGCATCAAGTCCCATTTGGCCCATGGGCCTATGTAGAGTATTGTTTTGCGTGTTTTACAGCTTTGTATATGTTGTTTCTTTCAGTCTCTATTCTTTTGACACTTGCTTTTTCTACCCACCCTTATGTGTTATGAAATTTATCCCTGTTTGTGCCTGTGGCTATAGTTCATTCATTTTCACTCTGTGTAATATTCCATATTCCATTATTTGATTGTGCCACAACTCATGTATCTGTTTTTTTTATTTTTTGAGGGGGGAAGGGCAGAGGGGAGGGGGAGGGAGAGAGAGAGGGAGACAGAGATTGAGAGAGAATCTTAGCAGGCTCCACACCCAGCACGGAGCCTGACGCAGGGCTCGATCTCACAACCACGAGATCATGACCTGAGCCAAAATCGAGTCAGACACTTCACCAACTGAGCCACCCAGGGGTCCGTCATTTATCTCTTATACCCCAAACTTAATCACTTAAAACAACACTGGTAAACTATTTCTGGTGCTTCTGTGGATTGGCTGGGTAGACTCTCTCCTGGTCTCCCTGGGGTCTCTCATGAAGCTGCATTTGGCTGGCAGGTCGGCTGGCATGGCTCCCTCCACCTGCCCTTTAATCCTGTGCTTGCTCACAGCGTGCTGGTGTCAGGTTTCCAGGAGGGCAGAGTTGGGGCGCATGAGTGGCTCAATCAGTTAAGCATCCCTCTCTTGATTTAGGCTCAGGTCATGATCTCAGGGTTTGTGAGATCAAGCCCCACATTGGGCTTATGCTGACTGCACGGAACCTGCTTGGGATTCTCTCTCCCTCTCTCTCCCTCTCTCTCTCTCTCTCTCTCTCTCTCTCTCTCTCTCTCTCTCTGCCTCTCCTCCACTCGTGCTCTCTCTCTCTCTCTCAAAATAAATGGACTTTAAAAAAAAAAAAGAGGAGGGCGGAGGTAGGAGCTTCAAAGGCACTTGACAGCTAGTCTCCAGAACTCCCATCACTCAGCCACTTCTATCAGTCAAAACAAGTTACAAGGCCAGTGGAGACTCTAGAAGTACGAAAATGGACTCTGCCTCTTGACAAGAGAACCTGGTCATGTTTTTCAGTCTACCCTAGAATATCTCAGTCTCTTAAAGAAGCAGAAGTCTTCCCCAACAGGAACTGAACGTGTTGGCATCTGATGGTGGGTGACATTGGGAATTCAGGAACCAGGAGAAAGAACTCAATACTCTGAGCATATACTAGACTCCCCATGTCTGTCTTACAGAACCCTTTGATACCTTGTGTGTTGCTCAGAACAGTGGACCATCCTCCAAGCTGGGGAGGGCTTCCTGGGGGTAGAAAGCAGGGACGCTTCTCTTTGCCTTTGCTCCTCCATGTTTTGGAAGCATCGTCTTCATTCGCGAGACTGAATGGGTGAAAAAGAAGGAACTGCTGTTACAAAACTGGAGCCAGAACTAGAAATATCCTTTAAAGAGATAGAAAAAGGGACCCCAGGGTGGCTCAGTCAGTTAAGGGTCCAACTCTTGGTTTCAGCTGAGGTCATGATCTCACAGTTCATGAGATCGAGCCCCGCGTTGGGCTATGCACAAACAGCACAGATTCCATCTCTTGGGATTCTCTCTCTCCCTGTCTGCCCCGTCCCCTGCTTATGCTCGCTTTCTCGCTCGCTCTGTCTCAAAAATAAATAAATAAGCTTAAAAAAGTAAAGAGATGTAAACATAAACAGCGTGGAGATACTGTTTCACACCTGTTAGGTAGACAGAGATAAGCAGAGTCTATTACATTTTCAGTAAAAATACAACCTGTGGGCTCCTGATGGTGGATCAAGCCTCTTGCCTCCGTACAGTCCTTTCTCCAGCCAGCTGCTCATGGAATCGGTGCCTGTGCTCTGGGGAAGCATGTCAGACTGTGGCTGAAGCAAACGACACATTTGTAACTGTGGCTTTTGGAGAAGCAGGTTCCTCCCACAAGAAGAGTGGAGAGTGTGTCTTAGGATTAAGTGGCATGGGCATCTTTACAGAGGAAGGATGGTTCATTTCACACTCACCCCCAAATCTTGATGGACATTAACCACACACGGCCCTACTCTGTAGACTAGGAGTTGAAAACTCACTGCCCTCAGAGCCAGGCAGGAAGCATGAGGCATATACAAAATATGGGTCCCTCTTTTTTTTTTTTAATTTTTTAATGTTTTTATTTATTTTTGAGACAGAGAGAGACAGAGCATGAGCAGGGGAGGGGCAGAGAGAGAGGGAGACACAGAATCCGAAGCAGGCTCCAGGCTCCGAGCTGTTGCACAGAGCCCAATGCGGGGCTCGAACCCACCAACTGCGAGATCATGACCTGAGCCGAAGTCAGATGCTTAACCAACTGAGCCACCCAGGCGCCCCAATATGGGTCCCTCTTGACCTGCCTTTCCCTTTCCTACTTTTGATAGGGTCCTAGCATGTGAAAAAAAAAAAAAAGAGTACAACTGCAATGAAAAGACAGCACTTAAAGCAGACATTTATGTTTCAGAGACAGTGCAGTATCTATAGTGACCCCAGGGAACCTATGGGGATAGGCTGTGTCATCACATGGGAATGCAGGCATGGTGTTGCTAGACCATCTCGCTGTTCAAATGAAGCCATAAGTCCAGATTATTTGGTGAAATCTCCTGGTTTTTCAACAAAAGCAACTAATTTCAGATTTTCCCTAAAAATATGCAGGCCAAGCAAAATACGTTTATGGGCTAACTGTGCCTCACAGGCCACCGGTTTGCAGCTCCTGATTTGGAAACTGATAAAATTGTGTGCTCTCTTGGTTCAGACGCTCTTCTGCAGGTGACAAGGAAGCATCCTAATCATGTGTCCCCGGTGCCTCTTTTTCCTCCTTCCAAGGTATCAAGACAGAAGACAGCTTGAACCATTCCCCCAGCCAGAGTGGATTCCTCAGCTACGGCTCCAGCTTCAGCACCCCACCCACTGGACAGAGCCCGTACACCTACCAGATGCACGGTCAGTGTGGCGCTGCGGCCCCTTCCTGTCCACCTCCAAGGCACTGCCTGACTTAGGTGTCCAGTCATTCATTCGTTTGCTTGCCAGATTTATTGAGCGCCTACTATGTGCCAGAATCTATCTCCAGGAGTTAGAGCGGTGGACAGAAGAGAACAGATATGAGATCTGCCCTTATGGCAATTGCATGGCAGGAGGGAGAGACTGACAGTAAACAAGGCAACAAATAAACCAGCTAATTTTGGAAGAAGTTGAGTGCCGTGAAGCAAATAGACATGGAGTTTGGGTAGAGAGTGATGAGCAATTTAAGGGTCAGGAATGGTGAGATATACAACTGTAGACAGAGTCAGACTCTGAAGAGATGACATGGGACAGAGACACAAAGAGGTAGGAGGCCTCAGCCATGTACAGGCCTGGAGGAAGAGCATTCCAGGTCGCGGGAACAGCCAGTGCGAAAGCGGTATGCAGGGCAATGTCTTGATGTGTTTGAGGCACAGAACAGAGGCCAGCAAGGCTGGAGCAGGATTCAAAGGGTGTGGGAGGAGAGAGTGTTGGAGAGAGAACAGAGCCAAATTCTGTAAGTTCCTGAGGGCTGTGGGTAGGAGTTGGCTTCGGTAAGTGTGACGGGACAGGCAAGTCCATTGTAGACTCAGACATGCCAGGTGGGCTAGTAAAGAAGCTGGTATTCCAGGCAGGAGGTTCAGGGGCTCTGCATCACCCTACGTTGGCCTTAGAAAGGGCAGAAGACTCCAGTGTGTAACTTCACCCCACATACCCTAAGTAACTGGATTCCTGGATTCTTCTGTGCCCACTCTTTGACCTTCCTAGGGCCCTTCTCTTCTTAGAGTCCCTTGGGAGCATATTGGGGCTGAAGCATGGAGTAGAGGGGCTAGTGGCAGTCATGTGGGGGATCCGCATCCTGGTATTTTTTTCCTTCATGAAATCTGGTAAAAATGACCGTCAAGGATTTGAAAAATAATATGCAAGAGTAAAGGAGTAATGGGAAGTCCGTGGGCTAATGAGCGATTATACTTTTCTTAAAAAAAAAAAAAAAAAAACTATTCGCAAGTGTTGTCACTTTGTCTTGTAAATGTCTTATTAAAGAAACAATAAAAACGCATATCAAGGGCAGCCTTTCAGAGAAAAACCTGGCGAAGGGACAGCAAATGATCTTGGGGGGGGTGGGGGTTGGGGGTGGAGAAAGGGGCTGATGAACATCAATGCCCAGCCCTTGGAAAAGCTCCCATGTAAAGGTCTGTATCAGAGCTTGTTGGTGGCACCATCAGCCAACACCAAACACTTGCCACGTGCCACACGATGTTGTTTGGATCGTCTTATACAACCTTCATGGCAAAGTGTTGGTGCTGGTATTATTCCCATTTTCTAGGTGAGGCAGTTGCGGCATGGAGGGAATGATCGGTTTGCCCAACATCAAGGCAAGGAGTTTAGATTTTACTGCAAGTGCAGGAAACAGAATGTGTTGAATCTCTTAGGGGTCTGGCAGAATCCCATCCCCCAGGCTGACCCCCAAACCCTTGCTCTTCTCTGCTTCTGCTTTCGCCTCTGGCCCCCCCACGGTAGCCTTCTGGGTCTCACTGAAGGGTGCAAGCTCCTGGGACCCATCTTCAAGTGGGCAGTGAAATTATGGCAACAGTCCTGATAATAAAGGCTTCTGAAGACACTGAACTTGAACTTGCATTTGGGTCACTCTCAAGCCAGTGTTTACTAGCTCTGCGAGTAGAGATGAGACCTACTGCCTCAGGACTTCTAAGGCCATGAGGGTTGAACCGCAAACACAGTCCACCCTCCCCCATTCTGACATCCTTCCCCACCCCCGCAGAAAATAAGTGGATTCAGTGACGTTAGGAGTGGCTCTCCATCCATCATTCTTTCACTGTGTATTATTGAGTACGAGTTCTATGCCTGGCACCCTTTTAGGCACTGGAGACATGGCCAGCAACAGTGACAGTCCCTCAGAGAGAAAGCAAAGAATCGATTAACAAATAAACGGATTATTAACAGACTTTGACAGAGCTTGTGAAGGACAGAGACAGGGCAGTGTGATGGGCAGTGATGAGGGGCATAGCGGTGGACATAACCCAGATGGTTAGGGAGACCCGAGTAATGGAAAGGTGCAAGCCACATGAGCAGCTGGAGGTTCTCCCAAAGGAGAAGCATGAGTCTGGGGGCAGTGAGTAAAGGGGATGAGATTGGAATGCAAAGAGGGGACCCACCCCCGCCCCCAGCCAGGACATATAGAATATGTCATTTCTTCTCTGGTCCTTATGGCAGCCCCATGAGGAGGGCATTATCATGCCTGCTTTACACATGGTGAAAGCAAGGCCCAGAGAGGGGAAGTGATTTACTCAATATCACACGGCCAAGAAGTATTCAGAGCTGGCATTCAGACTCGGATTTCTAGAATTCCGGAGCCTGTGCTGTTTCCTCCAAGTGCCATTTCCTGGACTCTTGCTTTCAGGATTCCAAATAGCATCCTAAGCTATGTGTATACCATACGCCATTCCCCTTAATCCTCCCAATAGCCCTGTGACCTACGGTCTGTCATTATCCCCATCTTACAGATGGAGAAGCTGAGGCACACATTGGTAAAGTAACTTGCCCAAGGTCACATGGCTATGGCGGTGGGATCTGCAGCCAGGCCGTTTCACTGCAGAGCCCAGGCATGCAACCCCCATACCCTCCTGCCCTCCCCACTCTTGTAGAACCCTCTAGAAGGCAATTCTCCATGGATGAGCACTTGCCTAAACCCTGCCTCGCCACCTCAATCCCCAGCAGCCCTTCACAAGTCGAAAAACATCTGCTCTGTTCCCACCCAACCATGGGAATAATCCAGGTTATTTTCTTACCGTCCTTGCGGCCCAGATGCTAGAAGGGCTGCGACAGCAGCTGGACTTTGTCCCAATTAACTGCCTTCAGTCTCATGCTAATGGCCATAAACTGCTCTTGAAACAGCCCAGGCATTCTGCAAGCCTGACATATTCCTCCGTAAGTATTTTTTTCAAACACAAACACACAGAACGCTCACACACCATGCCCATGTGCTTCCTATTAGCTTTTTTTTTTTTCAAGTTGTTCCAGAGGAGAAATAAACTCTGAAACTACTCCGTGTGCGTTTCAGAATGGAAGACGTCAGTTCAGCTTAGCTTTTCAGATGAGGAAGGGAATGAAGAAAGGGTCTGAAAACACTCAGAGTGAAATTGGTCCGTGTGGAGAATCTGGGATGAGTCTTTTTCCTCTCTAGGAATTAAAATCACAATTTCGTCAAAGCAGAAAGAACCCAAGCAGGGACCAACCACCCCATCACTTTGCAGATGAGTAAACTGAGGCACTGCCACAGAATGGCTCGTGTAGGGTCACAGAGCAAGCATTAGATAAGCCAGATGCCTCCCTCTGGGTCCTCTACCTCCTCTCATAAACTTCCAGAAACCTCAGCGGGGTCATCACCCCTCAAGGCTCTGGTCTGAGATCTGTATCTGTTTGGATAACACTGCCCCTCCACCAAATGTATAATAAACATAAGAGAGAAAAGTTCACAGCACTCGTCAGCCTTCGCTTGTTGTTTATTTTCTTTTTTTTAAGTTTACCCAAGAGTTTTTATAACTGAAATGTGTTTCTCATGGCTTTGATTTTTGTTGTTGTGTTTCTTTTTGCTTCTCCTGCTGAAACACTGCTACTCACAGAAACGGCTCCAAAGATTAAAAAGAAAACATCTTGAGCGTGTATTATAAGAACTTGCTGGTGATGTGGAGGGACTGAGAGCCCCAGACCACACAGCCCACGATTTGAGTGAGGCACTTGACTTCCTATGCCTCGGTTTCCTCACCTGGGAACTGGCATCCTAGCAAGGGAGAGGACCTCAAGGGGCTCTCGGGGGGACGAAATGGAATGATTCCTGGGCACGTCAGATGAGGTCCGTGAAGGCTGGGTGGTCTTTTTCTCATTCCTGCTGTTTGTTTTGTAACATAGGTGTTAACATCGGTAACCCTGAAGTCAGGCGAAGTGAACTTTGCAGTGTTCCAGCATGTGGCACTGAGCCAGCGTTCTTCCCCTCTAACATTGGGTAGTGATAATACTGATGCATGGCGTACCATGATAATTAAATGAGCTGAACTGTGTGTGTGTGTGTGTGTGTGTGTGTGTGTGTGTGTGTGTGAAGTATTTAGAGCAGCGCCTGGCACAAACTAAGTGCTCTACCAATGTTAGCTGTGGTTACCGTTGACCCCTTGAACAGTAGAGATTTGAACTGCGCGGGTGGGTCCGCTTACGTGCAAATTTTTTTTCAATAAATCCAGCAGAGTCCTGTGAATGTATTACCTGTTCCGTGTGATTTTCTTAACGTTTTCTTTTCTTAGCTTACTTTATTGTGAGGACACAGTATGTAATATATAGGACACACAAAGTACGTGTTAATTGACTGTTATTGGTGAGGCAGCATAGACTATGAGCAGTGAAGTTCTCTTTTTATCGTTTTATTTTATTTTTGTCCATCACGATAAGTATATTCTGTGGTAATTAAGTTCAAAAGTTATACAGGGAATTTCAACTGCGCGGGTTCCAGAGACAACGGAATTGCTATCTTAACTTCAGGTCTGACGGTCTGTGTTCTTCCCAAGTTCACCTGTGTTTCCTGAATTCTCAGTTTTATTAAGGAGTCCTGGGAGAAGAAAAGAGGAATACTAATTTGAGACTGTTGAGTCTTCCACATCAGCATAAACTCCCCTTCTGCTAAAAATCTGCCTTATACGGGGACTTGAAAATAGATCTTTTCAGTTCCTTCTGTAGTCTTTCTGTATTCACCAAAGACCAGGGAATGTTAATACTGAAGCTCAGAACCCAACATGAGCCATTCAGGAACATGGAAGCATGTGATTCGGGGATGAGGGGGAGAATTAAAAGCCTAGCAGAAGGGTCTGGAAGCCAGTGATCTCAGCCAGAGACTTCAGGGACCGGTTTGTGTTGGACTTGTGAAACCTAGCAGTTCC